GGGGGGGGGGGGGGGGGGGGGGCTGTGTGTGTGTGTGTGTGTGTGTGTGTATGCAGCCGTTGTGAGAGTGTGCGCAGACCATAGATCGTCACGGACCGGATGTGGCCATGAAGATCCTCCGGGGTGAGAATACCACACGCCCAGACCTCTCTCTCAGCGTGTGTGTGTTGGTGTGTGGCATATGGGCAGCACACGAAGAAGGGTCACCTCACCAGGCAGCTGAAGCGGCAGGAGACCATGAAGGCGTCTGGTGAGTCCCCTCAGCCCGTCATGCTCGCCGCGCTGGCCACCGCAAAAAGATTTTGCGCTGACCACAATCAGCCAGCCCACCAGCCCACCACAAAACAGGTGGGATGACACACAGATACACACACTTAGAGCAAGAGGGAGACACGCAGCCAGAGGCAGAGATTGCATTTCTGGATGTGTCAGAGTGTTGTTCCTCGTGTTGTTCCTCCATCTCGGGAGTGGCTCGAGCAAGTCGGCTTCATCCAGACACAGCGAGGAGTGGCCCCATCTCTCGCCGACAGCACTGCCAAGGGCGAGAGGGAAGAGAGGAAGAAGGAGAAGAGGAAGCGCGAGAGGGAGGAGGAGCGGCGCTTTGAGGAGGCCAAGAAGGAGGAGACGCATCCTCCTCGGTCCCATTTCGATGCGCTTCTTCAAAAGATCGCCCCCGTCGTCGCATCTCGCCCATGGTGGTGGCCTCCCATCCACCCTCACAGCACCCTCACAGCCACCACACCACACCACACGAATGGACGGATGGATGGATAGTGGGTGGGTGGGTGGGGTGGGCGTGTCGTTGACGTGGCAGGCAGGATTTGTGTGTGCGTGCCATGTTTCTCGGACTTTGGCGGTGTGTGCGCCATCGATGGATGTGTCTGTCGTCCACCGTGGTTAGCACTCAAACTGACTCCATCCATGTGCCTACCTGGCCGCTGGTGTCATCTGCTGGGCTTGTGATGGATCCTCCTCCTCTGCCGCACCGCGCCACAAAAATGCTCACTCACGTATGGCCGCTAAGGTCGGTTGCAACGCAGCAAGCACATCATGGCACGAGCGTTAGTCGAGCAGGCAGGCTGGCCGTCAGACACACACTTACACACACCCCCCCCTCCCCTCTCTGTCTCTCACCCACGCACATACATTCACTTCACTGCAGCCAGCAGAAAGCTGCTCACGCATAGCGTTCCATCCATCCATCGCCCCTCCACCCCCTGTACAAACAGACACACGACGACCGGCCTGCCTACCATCGATCTCTCTCAAGCTCTCTCCGCCCATGTGAAACTGTACGCAGCCATCTATGTATGTATGTGTGCATTCATGGGAATGAAAGGCGCGTCTATGATCACCAGGGGGTCTCGCCGGTGCGGAAGTCCTCTTCACTCTTCTTCCACTCCTTGGACACTATCTGCACACACACACACACATACACACACACAGCCACGAGCATGCATGCATGTGTGTTGTGTGTTCTCTGGCGGTGGGTGCGGTGCGCCGAGGTTCCCCTCGCCGGCGGTGGCCATCAAGAGGGTCTGGCCCCGTGCTTAGCCAGGGACAGGTCAGAACACCTCTGCACCACTGCGTTGGACAGGCCACTGCTGCCGCTGAATTAAGGGGGTGGGGGGGACGAAGGCTGATGTGTCACGCTGCTGCCGCAGATGCACTCAGACCTGAGATCACCATGACACAAATCACAAACAGACAGGCAGATCAACCCACGAATATGCAGCACTCACATGTGAGTGTGCTTGTGTGTGTGTGCGGTGCTCACCAGTAGCCACGAGGAGGGAAAGACGGCACCCACGAGTGCATTCATCTTGAAGATCACCGATCCACGCGTTGCGGCAGAGATCTGTGCTGCCGGTGGCCCGTCCTGTCGTGTGCAGTCTTCCCTTTGTTGTGGCGCAAGGCTTTTTTCAACTCACCAGCCAGTGGGCAAAGTCGACCAACGCCTTTTGCGAGCCTACTAGCGAGAGATCCGTAACTGCCCTCACTGAGCTCACCTAACGTCGCCGCGCTCCCCGACGACAGCGACACGTGTCGACTACCGTAACTGACACCGGGTTTGTTAGGGTCTGTTACGGCTTTATACTATATAGGTGTTGATTTGATTTTGGTGTCCCGCTCTCAGTCAGTCAGTCAGCCAGTGCGTTCGTTGTCAGACTGATTGTGCATCTGCTTTGCTGCCCATGGCGGCAAACGGCCTATATGACTACTACGTCAAGGAGTGCTGGTGGCCATGTGGTGACGGCGCGCCGACGGAAGTGCCCGAGGACGGTCCCGCAATCCGGCGGATGATCTCCTACTGGGCCCGTGTGCAGCCGGCCGTCAATGCCGTCCGCTTCATCAAGGTGGACGGATCCGTGGAGTCGGCCATCAGCTATCAGGAGCTGCATCGGCGGGCCGAGGCACTGGGGCGGCAGCTGCTGCAAATGCTGGATGCGGGGGAGGATGGCAAGCCTGCGTCGGTGCTGCTGTGCTACCCGCCGGGCATCGACTTTGTCGTGGCCTTCTTCGCGTGCCTGTACAGTGGGGTGCTCGCCGTGCCTGTCTACCCTCCTGACCCATCCAAGGTCAGTCTAGGCAACCACCACGGGACGGGAGGGACACATACATACGACCACTCGGGTGCGGTGCCCGCACGTTCGTATGTTCATGCCTCTCTGTCTGTCTGTCACTGTTCGTTGTTTCAGTTGAGCACGGACCTTCCCCGTTTCACGCGGATCGCTTCGACGGTCAAGGCGCAGGTGTGCCTGACCAACATCTTCTACCAGCGCATCCTTCACGGCCTCAACTGCAAGCTCACCCTCCACAGCCACCGCCCCTCGGCCATCGCCACCCATCTCCAGGCACCCCTCGCATCCAACGGCCACACGCAGCCGCCGGCTGCAAAGGAGAACGAGCTGACCGACGAGGTGCGCAAGGAATGGCACAAGCTGCGGTGGTTCAGCTCGCAGGAGCTCATCGACAGGGCCTCCAAGAACGGCCACGGCCCGTCCCTCCCCCCCCTCCCCTCCGACATACCCCACAGCCAGGTGGCCTTCCTGCAGTTCACCTCGGGGTCCACCAACCACCCCAAGGGCGTCATGGTCACACACGGAAACCTACTCCAGTAAGAAAGAGGCTGTGCAGGGCACACGATGGATGCGTGAGTGACGGATGCGATGCATTCACTGTGCACTGTCTATGTCCTTGTGGACTTTTTTTTAGCAACGTGCACCTGTGCACGGCCACCTTCGGGATGGACCCGCGAGACGATCGCCGCACCAAGGACGACCTCAGGAAGGACAGCGGAGGGGAGGCCGACGGCAGCGAGGAGGCCTTCGTCCCGCTGTTTGATCGCCCGTTGCGCGAGTTCGTGACATTTTGGTACAACAGGCACAGTCAATCGCGGAGTGTGCTGGGGCACAACGTACGCACGTTCAGCTGGCTGCCGGTCTATCATGACCTGGGTAGGCATATATGGATGCAGTGAGACGATGGACGAACTGAAGCACACACAACCGACAATTCATCCATGCGTCTCTCCCTCTCCCTCTCCCTCTCCCTCTCTCTCCCTCTCCCCTTTCTTATCATCAGGTCTGATTGGTCTTGTTGGTGGCACGTTGTTCTTCGGCAGCGAGATGATCATGATGTCCCCGCTAGATTTCGTGCGGCGGCCCTGGTCGTGGCTGCAGGGCCTATCCAAGTGGGAGTGCGAGGTCACAGCCGCACCCAACTTCGCCTACGACCTGGTCAGCCGCAAGACGCCTGAGGACATTAGGAAGTCCCTCGACCTCAGCAAGACGTCCTGGCTGTGCGGAGCAGAGCCAATCAGATACTCGTCCATCAAGAACTTCATGGATGTGAGTGAGCCGACTTAAGTGACTTTTCCCACCGATGGATGGCCACTAACTATCTCATGTATGTGTCATGTATGTCTATGTATGTGTGTGTGTGTGTGCAGACGTTTCGGGAGGTTGGCGTGCGCCCCAGCGCCTTCTTGCCTGCCTTTGGGTTGGCCGAGAACACCCTGTGTGTCACCGGCTTCCGGCCAACCCTCGACGCAGAGCCGCTGGTGCTCTCGATCAACGCCCTAGAGCTAGAGACCAACGTAGGATGCAATGCACGCATCGACGGACGGACACGTGTGCGCGTCTGATTTGCATTTACTTACCGTGTATACATGTGCTTGTGTCGATCAGGGCAACGTGCGCATTGAGGAGGAGTGGTATGGATTCCGCCCCAGCTGGCCAGACATGTCCGAGCGAAAGATCGTCATCGGCTGCAGACTCCCTGCCACCGACACAACCGGTATGCCGACACACACACACACACAAACCCACCGAGTTGCCCTGCCCTCATGTGCTCTCTTTTTTCCTCCATCCATCCATCCATCCATCAGTTGCGATAGTGGATTCGTCCACCCACCACCTGCTGCCCGAGGGCCATGTGGGTGAGGTGTGGCTGTCGTCTCCCTCTACGACCAAGGGCTACTTCGACATGGCGGAGCAGACACGCCAGACGTTCCAGGCCAGCCTCTCGTGCACCACCAAGGCACCCAAGCAGGAAGGGCCCTTCCTGCGGACCGGCGACACGGGCTTCCTCTACAAGGGCGAGCTCTTCATCGCCGGCCGCGCCAAGGACATGATCATCGTCAGGGGGCGCAAGTACATCCCTCAGGACATCGAGGAGGCCATCGAGGCCAAGTGTGACGTCGTGCGACCCGGCTGCTGCGCGGCCTTCCCCGTGGAGAGCGAGCAGGGAGAGGGCATGGGCATCGCATGTGAGCTGCGGCCGGAGGAGGTCAGGGCGCTGACCATGGCAAAGGCGGGCAAGAGCAGCAAGAGGGCCAGCAGGCGGCACTTTGGCGGGTTTGGTCGGTTTGTGTCGATGCTGGCGTGCACGACGGATCGCCACCGTGGCGACAAGGACGCGGTGCTGCGGACGATCGCACAGGAGGTGGCCCGTGCGGCGAGCATGAAGGTGGGTCTGCCCGTGCAGCAGATCTGGCTGCTCAAGCCGCGCGTGCTGCCCAAGA